GGTACATTTCATGACCTAACTGAGAATTTGTGGTGTGCAACGACGACTCAATACTTTCACTACCTCCCAGCGGCTTCCACCGTCCCTGTTGCAAAACAACTGGTCCACCACTTCTATACAAACGTAAATCTTTTCTGCAACTGTTCCATTCTGAATTTCGCAATCAACCAAAGGTCACCAAATGTTGTCTCTCATACTAAGACTTTCAGATTATTTAGCACCTATTGGGGACCGTTGCTAAGCTAACCGATTTAAGAGCGAGCTAATTTTTCCTGTCGACCCTTCGCGTCTTGCACTACCAGTTTTTTAGCACAAATCCGAAGTCACACACAATAATGACCCCAAAAAACTCATATCTTGATCCTCGCCAATCTTACCACCAGGTGGTCGTCTGGTCTGTCGAAGGTTAACTTCCGCAGCTTCTTCCTCGATTAAAACAAAAGCCGTTTTCTGCGCAACATAATTCGCTTTACCAGCATGAAAATGTGCACTTAGCCTTATGAAGTAGCTAGCAGTATTATTGTTAATCTCCTTGCAATAAGTAACGATTAACAAACCAGTAGATAACCAAAATAACTGCAAAAACGACCTCGCACATCTTCTCAGGGGACTACAAAACAGACACTAACAATTCAAAACTTTTTTTTTGCCACAAAGTCCGGGACATATAACAGATTGATGTTCAGCTGCTTGTTATCTTCCCTTAGACCAGTTTCCAACTACTCACACTACCCACTCTAAACTATGTGTAGAAAACTTCTCCAACCGTCATAGCAATCGAGCAAATCTATCTGTGCACATCTATAACCACACTGTACTACCTTTTTTGTTCTTACTAAGTTACTCCGGAAAACACTTATGCCGAAAACTAGGACTACTGTAATTTAAAAATTTACACTCTTCATCGTCAAGCGATTCCAGTACACTGCTAAAAGAAGGCGTTATGTAAAAAAGTAAATCAGTTCTCATTTAGTCAATAGTAACAGTAGTAATGAAGAAGTTGACTAAAGAGCATCAAATTAAGCCCTGAAAAAATCTTTACTCTCCCTCCATAAACGCTGCCAATAACAGTAACAAATTACTAGTATACATTAACTTTGGCATAATCAAATTAAACTGATGAAAAACAATTATTAAACAGCCTCCCTCTAACCATATAAAAAGCCTCCAAAACCTAAATTAGTGAAAACAAAGAACTAAAATTAATGTCAGACCAACGACCAATACACCAGTATTTCCATTTGTAAAAAAAAA